TATATCAACAGTTACTATTTTAAGTGGAAGTAGTGGTGGGACAGGTAGGATGGAAAGGGTTAGCTTTTGTAAGCATTTTTAGGATACGTGAAATCCTCTCATTTATTTCTAGTTTCACAAAATCTCATTGTTCATATTTCCAAATAGACAACATTCTTGGTTTCAGAGTTGCTTGAGTTTAAAATAGTTTTATATCTTTGACATCTAGCATAATGCCTTGCCAAAAGGAGGCACTAATAAATATATACTGAATAAGTGAATGAATGAAAGCTGTTTTTTTTTTTTTAACCAAACTCAGGACTAAAATGAGGTGGTTTTTTTTTTTTTTTTTTTTTTTTTTTTTGTGTTTTGGTTTTTTTGTAAAGTAACAAAGAAGGAAAATTGAAAATTAACAGGAACCATCTTTATTTTGATATCTGTGTTGTATAACAGCAGTATTAATTCTCAAACAATTAAATATCTTATTAAGCTTTGGTTTAGGCTGACAGTACTTTGAACTTTTAGATTTGTTCTCTTACTGTAGTTTTGGAAAATAAATATTCTTTTGGGTTCTGTTTACCTCATAGGATAATGGTTATATTACCGTTTAACTGGAAAAATTAAAGATTAGGGGTTCAAAGTTCTATTCCAAAATTTTAGTTTCTCTTGTTGCAATAACTTTAATGTACTTCATTTATTTATGGAGTGAGCTACATAAACTAATAAATGAAACATAAGTGTATTTTAGTCTAGATGTTAGCTTCTGATTATAAAGAAAAACATAATTTCTAAGGTTTCAACATCAGAATTACATTCTAGTAATTTTTGGTGAAAGCGGCAGTGATATTAGTAGCATTAGCATCTTACAAACAACTATTATTACTTGCATACTGTCATAGAAGCTATTTTGAAAATACTTAGGACCTGGCAAAGATGTGAATTATATTGGAAGAATCTGTAGTAAGTAGAAATAAAAGCACAAGCCTGTAGTCAGATTTTTAGGAAAGGCCATACTGTCTGTTTTTGCCTAAATTTTAATTGTGTTTCACTAATGCCTTGTATTCCACTAGTGATTGATTTGGATTGATAAACATAATCTGTCAGAATATTAATATATTATTATAAATTAGTCAAGTTCCTCATTGCTTAATTCCTAGCAGAGAAATTTTGAGTGAGGAAGGTTGCTCATTTTGGAGTGTGGTGTACTATGGATGACAATTTACTGAAAAGAGGGGATCTGTGGTAAAGAGTTTAGCACCCAGGGCGCCGAGTAAGCAGAGAGATGCTAGGTAGTAGAAGAAGGTTGTAAGATGAGAAAGAAGAGGAAAACAAAGATATATTCCTTCCAGGCCTGAACTCAGAAAAATAGGAAGAAAATGCCATTGTCCTTCTCTCTTCTGTCCAGTTCCCAGACTACCATTTACATAGTTCCTTGCTGTTTTGGAATCTGTCCTGATTGTTTCCATAACATCGTCTCATTTTATCCTTAGGAAAAAGTGTGGGGTAGGTATTATTATCCCATTTTACAGATGAGGAAACTGAAGCATGACAAGATTAAGTATCTTTTTACTTGACACTATTAGGAGTGATAAGGAAATATTGGTATTCCTGACTCCAGAACCTATTTTAACCATCATGTGTACTGACCCAAGGTTCCACATACACATGTTTTCATAGGTAATCAATAAACTTTAGATTTTTTATGTAGCTGACTTTCAAATAAGGTGATGGATCTCAGTGGTTAATAAATAATCTCTTATTTTTTACTGTGATATATATTTTTATTTTATTTTGTTTTTGAGACAGGTTCTGGCTCTGCTGAAGAGCAGTGGCACGATCTCGACTCATTGCAATCTCTGCTTACCAGGCTTAAGAGATCCTCCCACCTCAGCCTCCTGAGTAGCTGGGACTACAGGCACATGCCACTATGCCTGGCTAATTTTTGTAGTTTTTTGTAGAGACAGGATTTTGCTGTGTTGCCTAGGCTGGTCTTAAACTCCTGGGATCAAGTGATCTACCCACCTCGGCCTCCCAAAGTGCTGGAATTATAGGAGTGAGCCACTGAGCCCAGCAGTAGGTATTATTATGTAATATTTTCTAAGTAGAAATTTTCTTTTAATAATTATTTAAGTGATATATGAGAGCTATAAGATCATACCACCTGGGAGGTTATAGTTTATGTAATAATTGCCATTCTCATGTGATTTACAGTGCTTCATTATTTTATTTTTCCTCTATATAATTTAATAGCTTAGAAGGAAGTATTTTGGTTAATTGTGATAGGGTAGTTGAAAAGAAGCCTGGGGACAGTATAATGAAGTAATTTATTAAAAACTTTTATTTACTCCCTTTTTTGGATGTGAGTTGATTTGAATACTAAAAGTTTCCAAATGTCATCATTTGGGCATCAGTGTTAAACTGCTAATGATGTCATGTAGGTTTGTTCTTTTAATGACAGTTTTGTTTATGGAGAAAAACAGCTACAGTAGAAAAGCATGCCTTATGTTAAAATTCAACTGTTAAACACCTGTTTTTTTTTTCTTTTTTGTGACAGGTTTCGCTCTGTCACCCAGGCTGGTGTGCAGTGGTGCGATCATGGCTCACTGCAGCCATGACCTCCTGGGCTCAAGTCATTTGCCCACCTCAGCCTCCAGAGTAGCTGTGACTGTAGGTATGCACCACTATGCCTGGCTGGTTTTTTTTTGTTTTGTTTTGTTTTTTTTAGACACAGAGTTTCACTAGGTTGCCAAGTTCGGGCTCAAGCAATCCTCCTGCCTCTGATTGCCAAAGTGTCTCTGATTACAGGCATGAGCCACTGCACCTGGCCTTCTTAGCATCTTTAAAACCCAATAAAATAAGTAGAAAAAAAGGATTTTAGCCTCTTCTTTACTAATAAAAATTAGGTATAAATTAGATATTATTAACTTTGACAGAAAATAGCCTCTAAAGAGAAAAGAAAATAACCTCTTATGTTGCTATAATTTTAAGCTCTGCCATGAATGAGCAAAACTTAATTATTATGGATTATAGTTACTTTCCTGCAGGTGTGATCTGGGATCAAATTTTGGCTCTTGTTTCTAAGCGTCAGGTTCTTATTTTATTTATTTATTTTGAGACAGAGCCTTGCTCTGTCACCCAGGCTGGAATGCAGTGGCTTGATCTCAGCTCACTGCAACCTCTGCCTCCCAGGTTCAAGCGATTCTCCTTCCTCAGCCTCCTGAGTAGCTGGGACTACAGGCGCGTGCCCCCACGCCCAGTTAATTTTTGTATCTTTAGTAGAGACAGGGATTCACCATGTTGGCCAGGCTGTTATCAAACTGCTGACCTCAAGTGATCTGCTCTACTTGGCCTCCCAAAGTGCTGGGATTACAGGTGTGAGCCACTGTGCCTGGCCAGTTTCTTAATACATAAATGAGGATAGTAATTATACTTACATTGTAGTATTGGTTTGAGATTTAAAGGACATGCTTGATGCAAAGAGCAGCACCTGGCACATTGATAGTACTCAAGCATTTTCTGTTATTGGTAAATTAAAATTTGTAATACCATTTCCCCCAACTTTGGATAAAGGTCATTTAATTTCATTTAGAATCTTGCCATTCTTAATAAGGAAACTGTTATTAAAATACTTGTATAATTTCCACAGTGGTTTATAGTCTACAAACATAGCTTGCAGATATTTTATAAAAATTGTTTTTATTTTGTGAAGAGACTATATTTCAGTAGTCTGTCCATAGACATATAAGCAGGGGAAGGCATATTAAATAAAGTTTTGTTGTTGATAATTTCATTGAGTCATTTTTGTCTGTTAACTTTGTTCGTCAATTCTTGCATTGCAGAAAGCTTATCTTGTATTCAGTACAATGATCAATTTAATTGGATCTGCAGTGTCTAGGATGAGGTTGCTTGGCCAGGATATATTTGGCAGTATGAGGAAGGCAAGCTTCTATGTTGATTATAACTCTGCCTTGTCACCATTGTGTTCTTTCTAAGCACAGACACAGCTTGGTCCCCTGGCAGTGATATACAGCAAACGTCAATAACAACCTTTGTAAATGTTAAATAAAAGAGCAGATTGAAGGGCAGTGATTCATTAGGAAAGAATTTTGTCTTAGCAAATTAACTCTTATTTATTTCTGTTAACCCATGCTAAAGAATCACTGACTGTCTCTTGAGACTTTGGATGCAGTTGCACTAGAAAACTATACAGATGAAGGGTCTTTCTTCCCTTTAATGGATACTTTTAATCGGCAGTGTGTGCTTTTTATTTGAAGTATCTTTTTAAAAAATTTTTTGAATTACATTTTGACATCTTACCAGTTCCCTTAAGCTTTAGACAGTGCTGTTACCCTTAACTTGCCTCCCAGTTATCAAAAACCTTCTGAACTTTACCTGTGGAAAATGTTTACCATAGATTTTTCAGTTAGTGGTTGAAATGTGCACATATGTATTACTTCTTGAGACTTACCTTTCTGGATCAAATCACTGGTGATTCTGCCTCAGCAACCAGACATAGACATCCAAGCAGCCAATATATTTTCAGATTTTTATGTCTAATATAGTTTTCTTTTTAAGTTTTTCTTGTCTTAACCAGTGTAAAGGCAACCTAAGTGTCTTTACAGTTATTAGCTAGAATTCCAGAAACTGACTTAATTCTTCTACTAGCCACACTTGAATTTCATATTTGTGTATATACATGTTTGCTTGAAGATATTTATTTCCTTAAGGTAGAGTTAAAAGAAAGTATTCAGATTTTCAAAGCTAGCATTTTTTCCCCAAAGGAGATAATGTATTATCTATCAACCACTCTCTCAGAATAACTTCTTTGTTTTATCATGTACTATGATAGATTAGTCATGAATTTTCAGTTAATGAAGGGCTATTTATTTCATGCCTACCCTCACGGGTTTTCTTTTTCTTTTCTTTTCTTTTTTTTTTTTTTTTTTTTTTTTTGAGATAGTCTCACTCTATTGCTGGGCTGGAATGCAGTGGTGCAATCTCAGCTCACTGCATTCTCCACTTCCTAAGTTCAAGTGATTCTCCTGCCTCAGCCTCCGAGTAGCTGAGACTACAAGTATGAGCTACCATGACTGGCTAGTGGTGGGGTTTTTTTAGGCAGCAGCAGGTCAGGAGCTGGGTAGTGTTTGTAGCGACAGGGTCTCACATTGTTGCCCAGGCTAGTCTCAAACTCCTGATGTGAAGCAGTTCTCCCCGCTCAGCCTGCCAAACCACTGGGATTTTAGGCACTAGCCACTGTACCTGGCCCACAGCTTTGCTTTTTTTTTTTTTAAGTATCTTTTTCATACTAGACAGGATACTAAATGCTATTTTTGAGACTCTAGTATAGTTGTAAACCAGCTAGTAAAATTTGTTTCTTTTTTTATGCTTGTATTATTTGGAAACAAAATCAAGAAATAGAGTCTCTTTTCTTCCTCTTACTTTATCCAACAGCCCTCACTCCATATGGATACTGTATACCTTGGATTTTAGAATATTGTAACTCATAAAGGAATGGGCAGTGGAATCACAGTAAAATCGCTGATTTAGCAGATCCTTGGTAAATATTCATCTTGTGATCCTTTGGCGATACTAAATAGAAATTAATCTCTTTCTCTTAGGCTTTCCCATAGTACTTTGTATCTCTTTTTTAAAAAGTCAGTTGTTTACATTATTACATTAAAAATTTTTTGGACCACCAACCTTATTTCTGTCTCATGACGTTAGCTAAATACAGGGTATTCAAATATCCCATCCTTATTTTCTGTCATTTCTTGTCATGAGTCTTAGGTCCTGCTACTATTTACCTGCTTATAATTACCCATTTAGTTAGAAGTATTTTATGTTTGCATGCCTTTCTTTCACACTATTTCCCCTAACCGGAAAGCCCTTCACACCTTTCTTTGCCTGATTAAATCTGGCAGTTCATTTATCAACACTTACTGCATTTCTGCCATTTGCTAGACACTGTGTTAACTACTCGGATATACATTGGTAATGAAAGCATTTATGGCTTTGTCATCCTGGAGTTTTCACCCCATGCTTTAGCTTTTCCTAAACTCCCAACTTGGATTCAGTGCTCCCTTGCCCTTGTGTCTGTGGCTCCCTATACATGTCATGCTGAAATTTGCTGTTTGTGTGTACTTGCTTTTAGACTGGAATTTTCTTGAAGATAGGGTGTCTTGATTCATTTCTTCCCTTGGCCTTATCCAATACCTGATATATGTCAGGTGCTTAGTAATTCTTTGTTGAACTGTTTTTAAACTGTAGATAGATTATATGATCCCTGCCATTGATGAAATCTCAGGGCTTACCGTCGTGTGTATGTTTTTGGCTTTCGTTACAGTTATTTGCGTGCATGTCTGTCTCTCCTATTAAGTTGCCAGCTTCTTGAAGAATACAATTTTATCAGTATATTCTATGTATATTATACAGACAATTATATTTCTATGTATTTTTTGCTATGCCCCACCATACCTAATTTTACATGTAGGAGCTGTAAGATATTGATTTTTCTCTTAAAATGTTTTTGGTAAATGCTCATCTCTAGTGAGAGCCACCTGAGTGAGCAATCGCAGTGTCTAGGGAAGTCAGACAACTTTAATGAGAGACTGGAAGAGTTTGATTGTTAAGTGGGCTCAGAAAATGTCAGCTACTTATGAGGCTGAGGTTGGAGGATCACTTGCATCCAGGAGATCAAGGCTATAGTGAGCCGTGATTGTACCACTGCACTCCAGCATGGGTGAATAAGTGAGACTCTGTCTCAAAAAAAGAAAAGGCAAGAAAAGAAAATGCCTGTTGTCTCTCTTCTGCAAATGAGCTGATACTGAAAGATAATCTGGAACAGGAGTTTTATGGATGTCAGTTTTTCATACTGAAAGTAGTAGCGTTTTGGTGTGGTCTGGAGCTGACATACATTCCAGAGGCAGTGTAGATGATGACATCTACCAGTGAGGCTACATGACTGACATGGAAACTGAGGTTATTTTGCTAGTCTTGAATTATACTGTTTGCCATGGTTTCAATGATGGTATCGCCTCCAAAATTTATGTTGAAACTTAATCCTCGTTACAACAGTATCAAAAGGTATAGATGGCCTGCAGGAGGTTACTAAATTGTGAGAGAACTTCACCATCGTGAATGGGATTAATATCTTAGAAAGTGACTCAAGGTCAAAAGGCACACCTTCTTACCCTTCCACTCTTCCACCCTGTGAGGACACAGCATGTATCTCTTGCCCTTCTGATATGTGAAGATACAGTATTCCTCCCTCTTGAGGATGCAACAATAATGTGCCATCTTGGAAGCAGAGAGCAAACCATATCAGATGCCAGTCCTGCCAGTGCCTTAATCTTGCCCAGTCTCTAGAACTGTGAGAAATAAATTTGTATTGTTTATAAATTACCTAGTCTATGGAATTTTTGTTAAGCAGCACAAATAGTCTAACAGTGTTCTTCTTTAAAAAGGAATAATATTCATGGATACCGCTCTGTTGTTCCTGGAATGCTTAGGAAACATTCTTTGGAGTTTTGTGGGGGAATATATATGTATATATATATATTGTGTGTGTGTGTGTGTACATGTATATGTATATGTATATGTGTATATATGTGTGTGTGTGTGTGTGTGTGCTGTTTTGTCTAAAATGTTTTCACTTTTCCTGCTTTTCATCTCCTTGTTCCCTTGTACAAAAATAAATTTAAAAAAAAAAATCACCCTAAACCTGCCGGTCCTTCATAATCCTGTTCAAACATCACCTCATTTTAAAGTCTTGCTTGATTCCCCCCACCCCACGTTTTTTCCCATGGAACCTTTGAGGAAATACAAAATTTGACTTGTGTTACAGCTTTAAGTCCCCTTCATCAGAGCTTAAGCAATGTTAGGAGAGGTGCATGTTTGACTTCTTGAAACATTATCACTGAACTTCATGTTTGTGGCCTAAAAACAAAACAGAAAGAGAATGTAATTCTCATAATAATGATCATGTTCTAGTAACTACAGTTTGTTTAGCACATACCTGTGAGCCAGACGTTCTAACAAGTGTTTATCTTCATTATTTCCTTCAGTTCTTCTACCAGCAGTATTTTATGGATATAGGAACAAACTTGAGAAGTCAACTAACAAACTTGCCTCAGCAGCTATTAAGTTATATTGAGGAAGCAGAAAGAACTCAGATTTCTCTGACTCCAAAGTACATGTTCTTAAAATACAATGCTGTACTACTACTATAGATTCTCAGCTTCAAAGAGAACCACCGGAAGAACCAATTCATCACATCATTTTTTTTCCTGATTTCGTTTTTAGAATGAAATCAGGAAAAAAAAATGGACCTTTGAAATATATATTTTAGGACCTTTGAAATATATATGTTAAATAAAATTAAATTTGGAATGCAGTTTTTAAAAAAATGTATATTCATTAGATCTGTTACAAACTGGTCATAAACTAAGCCTTGTAAGAGTCAGGCTCATAAATTTGAGGATGTGTTTGTCCATTAGTTGTAGGAAAACAAATAGAGATTTGAAAGGGATTTAGTCTTTCTGCATAAAATAAACCAAACAGCAGACTAAAAAACAGCTTTTTAAAATAATTTAATGGAAAGAGGTCTCAAATTATTATGAAAAGGAGGTTGAGTGGATGAGAAAATAAACATTTAAACTGTGCAAAATAATGACTGACATTGAAGCAAAAAAGACAGATGCCATTCACAACAATGAAACATGCAATAATAAACCTGCCTTTATGTGTGTTTCTTTCTTGTTTAATATAAACTTTAGCTCTTTGCTATGTCAGAAAATTTTTGCTTTTACATGACTTTGATGATTTAAATGAAGTGAATGAGTGTGAATGAAAAGAATTTTTAAGTGAATGAAAGTCTGAGGCTTTTGCAATGGAAAGTATATAATTAGCATTATTTTTGGTAATGAGCTTTATTTTGAAGCTGAAACCACTGCTAACAATGTTTAAATTTTTTTAATTTTTTTATTTCTTTAAATGATTTATTTGGGATACTGACACAGAGCTAAATAACTGCAAGGTCCATAGTAAGATTCTTTTAAAGTCTTTTATTTGAAAGTCTGTCATTTCTTCTAACTAGGTAGACAATCTCCATTTGCTGCTAAGGCAGCTCTACCACTTCTCTAATTTTTTTTTTCTTTTTTTGAGATAGGATCTTGCTTTGTTGCTCATGCTAGAGTGTAGCGGCACAATCTCAGCTCACTGCACCCTCAGCCTCCCGAGTAGATGGGACTTACAGGCGAGCACCACTATGCTCAGCTAATTTTTTAAAATGTGTTTTTTTGTAGGGACACAGTGTCACTATATTGCTCAGGCTGGTCTGAAACTCCTGAAATCAAGTGATCCTCCTACCTTAGCCTCCCAAAGTGCTGGAATTACAGATGTGAGCAACTGTATCTGGTTTAATTATTGAGTCTCCCCTCTAAAGGCCTCAGGCTCAGAATCTAGAGCAGGAAGTTTCCGTTCATGGCAAATGCTGCTGATTTTCCATTCTGTTCTAGTGAAGCTTTTCATATACTTTGGTTTCCATGTTTTTGATTCCACTTTGTTCCACAAAGATTTATCATTTTCTTTTTCTATTACTTGATTTAAGCAAAATATTGATGTGAGGAAACTATTAAATAATACAGCTATGGCAAACTGTGCTGGGACTGGCTAGGGAATTTAGGAACGAGCATGTTTGGGTGTCTTTGGCTCTGTAATCCTTTGTAGAATTCTGAGCACTCTGGTAGACTTCACCTTGGCCAGTATGGTAGGAGCCTTCTTCATGGAGCCAGTTAGATTGGTGGCCATGGATGTTACCATACTTCCCAGGTATTGCAGGTAGCAGCTACATTCTTCCACAGAATGAAGAAATGCAGGCAGTCATGTTCGAGAAGTCCCTATGCTGGCCTCCAACTGCTAATATCCTGTCAGTGCACTGACATTTTTACCAGATGTAGTGTCTTGGCCCTTAAAAATACTTATTTTTTCTTAGATTAGTCACATCAACCTGATTATATTTCTTTTTCCCCCCACTTATGTCTAAGCATTGCCTTAGCAGGAAGAAACTATCAGCTGCATCAGAAATTTCACTGGAGTGATGATACAGATCCCACTGAGGACAGATAACCAAGCTTTCATGCCCAGGTTCAGCAATCCTCACCAGATTGCTATGAAAAATTACTTGTAACTTTTATATGCAGGGAAACCTAAGAAAACGAAGTATGATTTGAGGCCTGAAATGTAACTGCTCTTGCTCTCCTTTATCCATTAGTAATGCCTAAAAATAAAATATTGACTAAAGACTTTAAAGTTTTATTATAGTGGATCCAGCTATTAAGCCTGAGTAAAATCATGTGATTACTGCTATAATTGGTAATATGATGCACCCAGTTAACTTAAGGCAAATAACAAATGAAGCAATTACTATCTTACTGTTACCCCAGGCAAACCTACAGGTAGAATGAGTGATGAGACTTATGAAATAAATAAATAGAAAGTTATTATGTATTAGCCCTTAAACTTCAAAATACTAGACAAGCTAACAATGAATTTCTGAACAGCCATGGTAGTGGACTAGTTAAGTTTTACTTTTTTACTTTGTAACACATAGTTAATTTCTAGAAAGCAAGAAGTTCTCTCTTTACAGTGGTGACTTTAATATTAATATTTGTGTTTTGGGTAAAGACAGAATGTGCTGTACTTAAATTTTTCCTGCTTATTGTTATGTACATTTAAAATTATTTCTTAACCCTGTAAATAAAAGGCATACATTTCTGTAAATAGAAGCTATTCTCAGCTTGTTTTCTTCACATGTAGAATCTGATTTTAGGTCTGGGGGCGGTGGCTCACACCTGTAATCTCAGCACTTTGGGAGGCCAAGACAGGCAGATTACTTGAGCCCAGGAGTTCGAGACCAGCATGGGCAACATGATGAAACCCCATCTCTACTAAAAAAAAAAAATAGCTGGGCATGGTGGTAGGCACCTGTAGTCCCAGCTGCTTGGGAGGCTGAGGTGAGAGGATGAGTTGAGTCCGGGAGGAGAAAGTTGCACTGAGCCAAGATTGCGCCAGTATATTCCAACTTGCGTGACAGAGTGAAATCATATCCCCCCCGCCCAAAAAAACCAAAAGTATCTGATTTTTTAAATTGAGACCTCAACAATCTATAGTAATTTGTTATTTGTGTGGTGTTTTTTTTCAAAGATGCTTTCTTGTTGAGTCATCTTTATAATATTATTAGGAAAATTTTGGTCGAAACTTCCTTTCTACTTATAAAACCAAAAAGCTAACTGAGTTTTTCAGATTTCATGATCTCTACTCTCCATCCTTTCCAGTATAACATGGTCTGTTCAGTTCTATTGGAGAATCAATGCTCATGCATATTGCTTTAAGAAACAAAAAACCAAAACCCTTCCTTTAATCTGCATATTGGCAAAACCTCAGTTGCTGTAAGTTAAATATGTTTCTCTGATAATGTCAGTCTTTGGCTCCTTAGTCAGATTCCATCTTTTTATCATCGATGTACCTGCCCTAAACCAGCCTGTATCTTTACCAATGTTGCTTTATTATCTGATGTCCCTTAATATCTGGTTTCCCCAGTGATTCCCAAATGGTCACAGTGAAGATCTCTATGCTACGTATTTGTTAATATTTAATGGAAATTTTCTGTGACAAGGCAGTATACAAAAACTATAGATTATCAAGATTCTTCGTAATTGGCCATAATTTCATCTGTCCATTGTAGCTATTTTGTGTCGTGGGAGCATGTGCAGGGTCCTTTCTTCATGGAAACAAATCAAAACAGTAAATGCATTCTTAGTCTTCACTTGTACTCTTTCTTTTTATTTCTTCTTCTTTTTTTTTTTTTTTTTTTTTTTTTTTTTTTGAGGTGGAGTCTCACTCTGCTGCCCAGGCTGGAGTGTAGTGGCTCAGTCTCAACTCACTGCAACCTCCACTTCCCAGGTTCAAGTGATTTTCCTGCCTCAGCCTCCTGAGTAGCTGGGATTACAGGCATCCACTACCAGACCTAGCTAATTTTTCTATTTTTAGTAGAGATGGGGTTTCACCATGTTGGCCAGGCTGTTCTTGAACTCCTGGCCTCAGGTGATACACCTGCCTCGGCCTCCCAAAGTGCTGGAATTACAGGCGTGAGCCACCTCGCCTACCCCTCTTGTACTTTTTCTTCTTTTTTTAATCATACATTTAAAAATATTTATAAAACAACTACAGTATACGAGAAGTTCTGCTAAACTTTGAGGAGACAAAATGGTTAATATTTTCATTGTTAATAGTTTTTGGTCATCCATAGTTCACATAAGTAAAAGCAACCTATAATAGACTGGCATTTATCATATAAATATTGTCACTGTTTACACAGAAATTTATTTCATATCCTTACATTTCAGATTCTGAATATCTTCCCAGTGCTTCCTGTACCAATTTAAACAAAGTGAGTGCACTTACTGAGTTTGAGAAGTATTTGTGAAATGTTGAGTGAATGAGTGTGATTATGTAGTTAATAATCAGTAGTAAAAATTATTTACTGAATAGCCACTCCCAATGAAACTATAAGAATACGTACAGAGAACTCTTCTTAGAGGTTATGGTGCCCCATGGGAAGAGCTGTCTCTACTTATTCTTCACTATTAACTGGCTTGATGAATTAATTGGCATATAGGGTACTGTTTTGATCACTGTTAAAATTCTCAGGGGCACCATCTAATGGGATGGAATACAGGTTTTTTGCTTATTTGTTTTGGCATTTTAATACTGTTCTTGGGCATCAAAATATCTAATTCTGAAATTAGAACCATATTATTAGCTTACCAAATTCATTTAACAACAATGCTCTTTTTTAAAAAGGAGGGATATAGTGTTCATGGATACAACTCTGTTCCTGACATGATCCATGATTAACTGATTTGGAAGGGATTCCTTGGAGTTTTGTGGAGTTGTACGTAACTCCTTTGTCATATTTTCATTTTATTTATGTCAGCTTCAAGTGTGGGCTGTTAGTCCATTTTCTTTTATATTAATGATAGGTATATACTGATTTTCCTACTATACACCTATAAACATGTAATTGTACTCCTTTTTTGCTGTTCAGATGACAGAAAACAGGTAGCTTTATTAAGCTATCAAGTTAGAATCAAGATCATATTTAACTTCATTTGTTTCTGCATTTGACAAAGGAAAAAGGAGGTCACGTTTTATTAAGAACCTTTTGTTGTCTTAGGCACCATGTGAAGTGCTTTTGCTCTCTTCATTTAATCTTCACAACTCTGTGAGAAGTTTTGCCATTTGTAAATATTTAGAATTCAGTGGGCTTTTTGTTCTTTCTCAGTAACTACAATTCTCTCTACTTCAGTGTTTTTAATAATAGTTTTATTGAAAAATATCACATCATAAAATTAGCCTTTTAAAGTATACAGTTCAAGGGTTTTTAGTATATTCAGAGTTGCGTAATCATTACCTCTAATTTCAGAACATTTTTGTTACCCCGAGAGGAAACCTCGTACCTATTAAAGTCAATTCTTAGTATTCCCTCCACCCATCTCCTGGCAACAGTTTTTTTGTCTCTATAGATTTGCCTATACCGGGTATTGCATATAAATAGAAACACATAATATGTGGTCTTTTGTGACTGGCATTTTACTTAGCATGTTTTCAGGATTCATCTTTGTTCTGTCACATAATCAGTACTTCATTTCTTTGTATAGCTGAATAATATTCCATTGTATGGATATACCACATTTTATTTATTTATCAGTTGACTGAGATTTGGAGTGCTCTTACTCTTCAGCTATTAGAGTAATATTGCTGTGAACTTGCTGTACAAGTTTTTGTATGGACATATTTTCAGTTCTCCTGGGTGTATACCTAGGAATGGAGTTACCAGGTAATATAACTCTGGTGTTTAACCATTTGAGGAATTGCCAAACGTTTTCCCAAAGTGGTTCTGCATCACTTTACAATCCCACCAGCAACTTATGAAGGTTCCAGTTTCTTCACATTTTTGCCAACATGTGTCCGTTTCTTTTATTTTAGCCATCCTAATGGTATGAAAATCTCTTTGAGGTTTTGCATTTCTCTAATGACTGATACTGAATATAGGCTGGCTGCGATGGCTTATGCCTATAATGCCAACACTTAGGGAGCCTGAAGCAGTCAGATCACTTGAGCCCAGGAGTTTGAGACCAGCCTGGGCAACTTTGCAAAACTTCATCTCTGCAAAAGTTATCCAGGTGTGGTGGCACACACATGTAGTCCCAGCTGTTGGTGAGGCTGTGGTGGAAGGATTACCTGAGCCTGGGGAGGTCAAGGCTGTAGTGAGCCCTGATGGCGCCATTGCACTCCAATCCTAGACAACAGAGTAAGACCCTGTGTCAAGTATATATT